TTCTCTAGTACTGTTTTGGGTCGGCCTATCCAGTGACGGATGAGAATGTTCGATCCGGTGCAGTAAGCGAATGTTCTTCGAGCCTTATGGTAGTGCGAACAGCGTAGTAGCAGTAGTAGTAGTAGTAGTCGTAGAAGTAGTAGCAGTCGTAGTAGTAGTAGTGGTCGTTGTAGTAGCAGCAGTCGTAGTAGTCGTAGTAGCAGTAGTAGTAGTGTTACTAGTAGTCGTAGTAGTAGTAGTAGTAGTAGTAGTAGCAGTCGTAGTAGTAGTAGCAGTCGTAGTAGTAGTAGTAGTAGTAGTAGTAGTAGCAGTCGTAGTAGTAGTGGTAGTAGTAGTCGTTGTAGTAGCAGCAGTCGTAGTAGTCGTAGTAGCAGTAGTAGTAGTGGTAGTAGCAGTCGTAGTAGTAGTAGTAGCAGTAGTAGTAGTAGTAGCAGTCGTAGTAGTAATATTGGTCGTTGTAGTAGCAGCAGTCGTAGTAGTGGTAGTAGTAGTTGTAGTGGTAGTAGTAGTAGTAGCAGTCGTAGTAGTACTAGTTGTTGTAGTAGCAGCAGTCGTAGTAGTCGTAGTAGTAGTAGCAGTCGTATTAGTAGTAGTAGTAGTAGCATCAGTCGTAATAGTAGTAGTAGTTGTTGTAGTAGTAGTAGTTAGAAGCCTTTAGCTGGTAACTATGCTACTAGTATAGTATCTTGTAACACTAAAAATATACTACTAGCTGTCTGTTGTGGGGAACTTGGCGGCCTCAGTGAGATGGAACCCACGAAAGCAGGGGCGAGGTTTGAGTACAGTCAACCACCTAACCACCTGAGCTACGACGCCCCACGGGGAGCCGTGAGTTTAATCACGCCCATTATCTAGTACTGTTTTGGGTCGGTCTATCCACTGACAGCATGCATATATTATGAGGACTAAAACGAGGAAAGTGATTATCGTGCCGTTGGTGGTAATGGTGTTTTTGGTGGCGAGAGCGGCTGCGGATAGTCATGACTGCGGCTGGGTTGTCAATAATGACGATGACCGGAGGTTCCACTGTTTCTCCCAGTCTGATAATTACGGGCAGATGTGCGTGTGTTTTTACTGCGGTTTTTGCCGGTTTTAATGTGTACCTGTCGCGCTAAACAGTTAATTGCATACGTAGCCTTCGTTTTAATTCCCCCATAATGTTAACCAGGCCTGTCCTGTGTCGGTTTTGTGTCCCCTGCCTTCTTGCCCTGGAGCCGCCACTAATCCCCATGACAACCTGATCAAAGTAGGCATGGAGAAGCTAATCGATCTTTTGTGCCTCCTCTTCTTTTCAGCCTTCGACAAAAAGTCAAGGAAACTATGCACGCTGCCTTTTGGGACCTTCAAAGACAGAAACTAGAGGCCGATCCTCCCGATTACTCCTCCGCTCTGGAACTTTTAAAGGAGATTAAGTCTGTGAGTGCGCCTCTGTCTTCCTGTTAGCATATTCGCAGTCCATACGCATGGCCGAAAGTGCAGGCTCTTTTTGCTCTCTCTGTGTAGTCGTTTGCTGGTTCTTTTCAGTCATTTATGTACTCTGTGCCCCCTCCTAGTCCCTCGTGGATATGATCTTGCCCTATCAGAGCAGTCTTCGCGCTCAAATTGACGACAAGCTCGATATAGCGACTGCGGAGGCCCAGCTGGCTGAGACAGGACGTTTCGATCTGGCCTCCTACACAACGCCCATCATCGACATCATGGCCACCTGGTGTGCTCCCGCTCGGGACGCCGATGTGGCCCGTCTACACGACATAACGGACTCTGTCGACTTCCTCAAGTAATTACCCTGTCCATTTTAAATACGTATTGTAAGTTACACAAATTTAGGTTACTGAGGGGATCCGTTTGTGTGCTAAAATTCATGGCATCAGAGCCATTGTGGGTTGCATGTCGGCGTCGTTATCGGTCAGTCGTTCTCCAGACACAGGTCTTCAACATATTGGCGGAGTCCTTGCCTGACCACCACCACCACCACCACCACCACCACCACCACCACCACCACCACCACCACCACCACCACGACGTAACCTCCACTGAGGGATAAGGCTTTGGATTTCATACAACAGCATTGCGCGGTCTCCCATGAGGGACTTGAGACATCCGCGTGTTCTAGTGGCAACAAATGTGAGCCGTCTCCTCTTTGTATATTGTGCAAACTTTCGATTTTACGGGGGGGGGAGGGTGAGGTCTCCGAGTCACGAGGGGAGGTACACTAATTGAATTTATCCCACTAAACCGCATCCTATTAAGTTGTACAAAATCTAAGGTCGGTGCAAAGCCCGTCTCCGCATTCTCAATCTCCGTACTTTACTTGTAGGATCTGTCTCATAGTGCTTCTCAGTGCTTCGTCAGTTTCTCTCTGACTCCTGTGCGACAACAGTTCAACCATTACGAGCGATAATGCCGACCGTGTCCACAGGGCTAGGAAAGTATGATGCTGTTGCTGTTGATGATGATAATGGTGTCTTTGGTGGCGAGAGCGGCTGCGGATAGTAATGACTTCTGCTTACGTATTATATGCGGTATGTGTCCTGTGGCACCCCGTTCGTTGTCGCCAGTAATAAGCTGGCGGGCGGACAGAATGGAATCGAGTGAGATCCTAACTACATAATTGAGGGTCACGCGGCTACTTGACGTGTTTATATACCCCACTTCATAATGCCTATGACCTACTGATGATCGGTAGCGACCGTGAAGCAGCTGTCTGTGTCTGGCATGTTGCTCACTTAGTGAGCTGCTTACGTATTAAAGTTGGAACAAACATGTTGCTGTCACGTCGTTAGTAATACATGCGTTGTACGTAATATTATTAAAACAGTATGCGACTGAAACCGTAGCACCCTCGGATGTCGAAGATAATGTATCAACTGATAGGTCAACTGCTTTCTCTGCTTCTTTGGCCTAAGACACTGCATTTTCTAGGTCTTCATTTTTTGACACTAGTAGAATGACATCATAAGTGTAGTCGAACTCAGTCAGGTGGTACCCAGCCGCAAACTTTATACCTCCAGGACTGTGTAGAGGTCATTTGAGAATGCAGACAATGAAACACATTAAACATAATGTATCACTGTCGCATGCCTCACTGAATACCACAGGTCGCCGCTGAGGAGGTCGGTATCCTCCGAAATGCTCATATCCTTCTATCAACCACCCAGAAGGCATTATACACCCGAATTTTGAAGAATTCGAAGCTGAAAACGTCGCTTCTTACGATACCAGGCATTCTTGTCTGGAATTAGAAGTTCTTAACCAAAACCTTCCTTTGACGTCATCTCGATTTACTGTGATGTTCAAGTCCGCATTTCATCTTTACTTTATTGACTTTACCGATCACCTGAAATTTGCCTTCGAATAACTAATCCGGGGACTTTTTGACTGGCGCATGAGTCCAACTGACTCGATTTGATTGGTTGCAATTTCCCTCGGCAGTTCTCAGAGTCTGGGCGATACTTAATGGTGATCGCATATATTTTCCGTGGGCCTTCCACCATTTTCCGCCTCCGCCTCCTCCTCCTCCCCCCCTCCCTCCTTTCTCTCCTCCCCCCCTCCCTCCCCTTCCCTCCTCCATCCCCCTCCTTCCTCCGTCCTCTGTAAGCTTGTTTCTTTTCATGTTCCCTTCTTTAGACGGGTTTTTGAGATCCTTGAACAGATGCACATGGACTTAGCCAACTTTACGATAGAGAAGATGCGACCCTACATCCGCAAGCATGCAGCTGTCTACGAACGTGAGAAGTTCGACCAGTGTCTGGAAGCCCAGAAAAGTAAGCGATTCCTGTCTAGACACCGTTTCGACGAATCCCGTCAGCCTCTTCAGCCTACCCTATGGTAGTTGGCATATCTCATGAGTCGTTAACCGAAATTTTGCGATATGATCTCAGTTAGATATGACTACTTAGATGGCATTGTGGTAGTATCGATTATCATGTAAGTCTTCGTCGTTTGGCCCTAGTTTGATGATATGGTGAGTGGTCGAACTTAGTCATCCGGTATTCAGACGTAAATTCCTACGTGTTTCAGTTACGCCTGAATGATGGCTTTTGAATGAGCGTGCTTCCGGCCGTCTGGAATAATCACACTTGCAAAAAAAATAATAGCTTGCTTTGCGCGTTTTTCTCTTTATTTTCGAGGTTCATATAGATCCAAATATACTACATCGACAGTACGTGCGAAAGTATCCTTTCTCGCATTAATCTTGTAGAAGATTGTGTCTCTAAATTTTAAATTCGAAGAAACAGTGTCTGTCGGCTTCAAGAGTTTGTAATTACGAGACTTAAAAACTGAAAATTATTTCTTCAAATAGCTTCGCGTCTGTTCTTTTATTAGTGCTTTTTATAAAGTATGCAATATTAACCATATTGCAAAACTTTATAATCCTCTATGGCGCCTCCTTAGCAGAGGGATAAATTATTCTCCGGAAATAGAAGGTGTCAGTATCAGTTTATTAAGGGAAATATCGGCAAGCGCCTTTGAACTCCCTATTGGTTACAAGTCGTCGGAGAAAAACATTGATAAATGGGAAGGTAAAAAATGGTTTTTGTACACACTCGCCGACAGCTGACAGCCAGTCGAAAAAGAGTAACCATTAACGGTTACTTACTAATTACAAGTAGTATAAACACATATAATGTGGTACCGGTTATGTGAGTGGATGTGAGGGTGGTAATTTTAAAGCTTGATGCATGTCAAGTCCACACTTGAAGGAATTCACACAGGGGGAGGTTACCACATCGGTAGGCAGGGCATTCCACGCTGCAACCACTCTGTTACTGAAAGAGGACTTTCGTCCGTTGGTTCTTGATTTCCCTGCGCGTAGTTTTAGGGGATGACCGCGCAAAGTGGGCGTGTTAGCTTGGGTGAAATAATTAGTGGGCTCTAAACAACAGTCTAGGCCGTTGATGATGCGAAATGTTAGTATAAGGTCACCACATAATTGCATGTAGGAAAGGGGAAACAGGTTGAGGATTGACAGTCTGGTTTCATAGGGCAGTGCTCCCAGACCTTGTGTCATTTTGGTCGCCTGTCTCTGGACCTTCTCCAAGACGGTGTAGTCCTTGGCAGTCCAAGGTCTCCACGCCTGTTTGGCGTATTCTAGATGAGGTCGCACGAAGGTACCAAATATTTTGGAAAAGCAGTCAGGGTCAAATCCCATAAATGCTCGCCTAATGAGTTGCAATGTGGCCGTAGCCGATTTAGCCGCCTTCGCGCAGTGCAGTGTTGGTTTGAGTGAAGATGTAATCTATACACCCAGGTCTTTCTGACTGTCAACCTGTTGCAGTGGTGTGCCGTGTAGAAATTAGGTCCTGGGGCTGGGGGCTCTGAAGCTGCCGAGTTGAAGGAAGTTACACTTGCTTATATTGAAGGGCATAAGCCAGCGCTTCGACCAGTCTTCGAGCCTATTCAAGTTTGCTTGCAGATGGTCTGCGTCTGCCGCAATGTGAATAACTTTCCACAATTTTATGTCGTTGGCAAACAGGATGGCTTTTAGTTTGAAATCCCTAGATTCAGGTCGGGTTCAAAATTATTCGGGAATTGTCGCTTTTTAAAACTCGAAAATACGCTTTCTTTATACGGAAAATTTAAAGGTTTAATTTAATCCAAAACGCTTAAATGAAAGGTTTTAGGGTATCCGTTCTCCGAAATATATTTCGATCTATTATGATATTGAAAGTCAGGGGCAAAAAATCGTGCTGTTTAAATAGTCATTTTATCGAGTGATTTTTAGGCGGTCACAAACACGGGCATTTAAAAGCCAGTGCCTTGACATGATTGAGGTATCTTGGGGATTACGTGTATAATATTCAATATTACAAACGTGCCTACACACTTTTTCTAGTCGAAATCGCATTTTAGAGTTTCGGTTGATATGTCATGAGATACGACATCTACTGTA